GCCATTTAAATCCTAGCCCATGAGACCAGCGACTGGAGAGACAGGTTTCCGAGAAACTGGGAATGTGATGGACTTTTTACAGACCTGGAAAAATAATAACCACCCTTCTATGAGTGCTCATTATATGCCAGGTCATTCTAAGAACGTTGTATATATGTACTTAATTATGGTTTCATCCTTACACAACCCTGTGGGGTGGAATTATCCCCATTTTATAGATGAGACATTGCGACACAAAGAGGCTGAGGATCTTTCCAAACCAGTGACAGAGCTGGGGTTTGAACCTAGGCAGTCTTTTCAGGGTGGATGGTCTCAACCCATTATATGTAAGTTGCCCTTGAAATGCAAAGAAAGGAAAATCCTAACTGTGTTTAAAGAGACATGCCTAGCCGTGTCTTCTTTCAAACTCTTCCTCTCACTGTTTTTGCCATGCAGCTGGTGTTGGACGCATGACCATGGCTTAGAAAGTATTTCCGGGGACAGAGGGGGCGGGCCAGTTAGCAGGTGGAAGTGGGAAGGGGGTGTTGCATGTCAGTCCTGGCTTTGTGAAAGGGTGTGGATGGAAATGTCATCGCATACACCCCTCTCACAGAGCTTTCAACCCTGGGGGACTTTTGTTAGGCCGTGGTTGCCCTGGTGAGTTGGCCCAACCTGTCAGGAGAAAGTCTGAAAAGTAAGTAAGAATAGGAGAGTTTGCAACATGGGACACTTTAGGCAAACTGGAACCTTCTGTGAAAGAGAAATAGCTAACTTCCTGGTGTAAGTATGGGATTGTATTTGGGGCTGTAAATTAACAATTAGAGTGAAAATGTGATTGTAATTTATTATAATCTAAAAATTTTGTCACTGGGCAAAAGCAACTAACTGACTGGGAAACAGAAAAAACTAGATTTCAAATCAGGCTCTGCCACAAACATATGACCTTGGGCCTGTTGCCCTTTTGTACGAGGAATTAGAATGATGTCGCCAAGGTTCCTTGTAGCTCACACACCTATGACCTCATGCCCCATGGGATAGCTAAGCTCCCCAGAGCCGTACCTTGCTCCAGTGTTCCCCTGAACAAGGACTGTGGACTAGAAGCCACATGGCTCTCACCCTTCCCCAGATGTGGCCCCCTTGGGTTGGCCAACATTCTCGTGTACTGGGGTGCTGCCCGTTCCTGAAGGTAGGCTCCCCTGACCCTGGGAACTGTGGCATGGCCAGATGATTGTGTGTGGGAGCTCAGAAAGTTCCAGTAGCGTGCCTGTCGGTGACAAGCAAGAGCCCCCAGCGGTAGGGCCAGCACCACGGCGTCTCAAAGGCGAGGCCATGAAGACGCCTGTATTCAGGGTCTCCCTGATGGGTTCCATGTGTGCACCTGTGCAGGGCAGCGGGGCTGTGCACTTGGTCATGTGCTAGGGCTCTTCCAGGGACAGTGCTTTCTGCACTGTATTCGCCCCGGCCTGCTGTGGGGCAGCGTGAGCACTCTGCTTCTGGCTGGCCTATCTAATCTGTCCTTTGTGGCATCTCATGTCACTTGCAGTGTAACCAGATCCACCACGGCCTTCGCTCGGGCATCGTCGTCCTTGGCAATGGGAAAGGCATCATCCGGAACAATCAGATCTTTTCCAATAAGGAGGCTGGCATTTATATCCTGTACCATGGAAACCCAGTGGTGAGGTAGGCGCTGCTGTCCCCAGATCGTCCTGCTCACCATGGTTCTCATCTGTTTCCCTTCTCCCAGCTTCCCCCCATTTGAAAATATTTTTGTTTGCTAAAGCAACTGTGCAGGCCAAGCACAGAAGAGACTGCACCCACAATCCCACAATAGCACAACCACTTTTGTGTTTCTGTGTTCCCTTCCAGTTAACCATGTGGCCATTCTATTCAGCAAGTATTACTGAGCACTTCTAACAATGATAACAGAGGTAGCAAGGGCCAGACCCGGAGCTTACTCTCGTCTGTGCCCAGGAGAGATTTTAACTCCGGTCAGTTGATAGTGGCCACAGGGATGCTGTGCTAAGAGTCAGAGGCTCCATCTGACCTCAGCATGAAAGCACGTCGAGATCAGTCAGGGTGTGAGCTGTAGGTGGAAGGGGCGGTGGCACTACTGGGACCATGGATCTGCCCTCCCAGCTATTGTACGGGACAGCCTGGGATAAATCTATCAAAGTATCAGGAGAGGGCGTGAGCCATTCTGCTGTTTGTGCCATAGCAACAAGTGTATGAATGCACAGCTCCCAGAGAGGGGATGTGTGGGAAGGTCTTATTAAAAAGGTGGCATTGGGCCCCGGCTGATGTGGCTCAGTGGTTGAGCATTGGCCCATGAACCAGGAGGTCACGGTTCGATTCCCAGTCAGAGCACATGCCCGGGTTGCGGGCTCATTTCCCAGTAGGGGGCGTGCATGAAGCAGCCAGTCAATGATTCTCTGTCATCATTGATGTTTATATTTCTCTCTCCCTTTCCCTTCCTTTCTAAAATCAATAAAAATATATTTTAATAAATAAATAAATAAAATGTTGTTTGTATGTGGATGCCAGTCAAGAGAGGCCACGGAGCCTTGTGCTTCTATGGCATAGCTATAGGCTTAGTTTTTAGTTGGTGAGAATCGAAGATTGCTAAATGCCGGCTTCGAGGACCTCAGGAAACACTGTATGCTGCTGTGGATTTGAGCCATCTGGGGAAGACCACAAAAGAAGGCAGTCACCTTGAGTCAGCATCGTCTTCGACGCATAACATTGGTCTGGTCTCACCTGTCTTATTCTCTTACATTTTAGTGGGAACCACATTTTCAAGGGCCGTGCAGCCGGCATAGCTGTGAATGAGAATGGCAAAGGCCTCATCACAGGTAGGTGGGGATGCTGGAGCCTGGCCAGTCAGGTAGTGGGCTCTGCCTCACCCACACCCACCCCCCGCATCCCGCCCCCAGTCCTTCACCCGGACAGACTGGCCTCCTGCTAGTAGTGGCTAACTCAGGGATGCTGGCCCAGTGCTTACAGGATCTCACTGGGTGGCTGGCATCATGCTGTCAGGAACATTGATGCCACACAGAATGTCTGAGCTCCTCCTCTTGGCTTTTGTACGGGCTCCCGCCTGTTCTGGAAACCCATCCCCATTTCCCTTCCCCTCTGCCTGGCCAACTCCTGCTCACCCTGCAGGTCTCAGCCTGAGTGTCACTTCCTCGGGGAAGCCTGCCCAGACCTCCCCTTATACATATACTAGTATACACTCACTGTACCCAGGAGCCCTGCTGTCCAGGACCAGGAGTCGGGGACACAGCAGTGAACAACACAGACACCATCCCTGTTCCAGGAACTGACATTTTAGGAGGGGGAAGCAAGTAAATAAATAAAAGCATACATATGCAAGCAGGCGAAGGCCTATTGGAGGATGATTCGTGCTCTACAGATAGTTAGAATAAGGAGCTAGAGGGACTTTGTGGCATTTAGATTGTGTGGTCAGGCAGCCCTTTCTGAGAAGGTGGCTTGTAAGCCAGAACCTGGATGATGAGAAGGGCCCTGGGAAAAGGACTGGGTTCTATGCAGGGCCACTGTGGGAACAGACCTGGCGTGCCCGAGGCGCAGGGAGGTCACGTGTATGACGAGGGTGGTGGATGAGGTGTGAGGGTTTGAGATGGGGTCACAGAGGCAGGACAGGGCCAGTCACACAGGGTCTCATGAGCCATTGCCCTCCAGTCCCAGCAGGCTGACCGTCTGCCCTGCCTCAGTGCTGGTGCAGATGGTCCAGGACCACCCTCTGGCTGGGACTCTCCAGCCCACTCCTGGGCTGGCCAAGGGGCGGGAGAGGTCAGCCAGAGCTGAGGCTGAGGACAAGCTAGCGCCTCCTCAGGCTGTTGGGTTCTGCCTCAGCCCTTCTGGAAACAGCCAGCACCCCCCCCTCTCCCCCCCGCCCAGGACAGACATCCCCTGCGTGGCCTGGCTCAGGAACTCCAGTGCCCATTATTCTTAGTCATCAGTTCCCAAGGCCACTGGGTACAGTGGGAACTGGGAATGTAGGAGAACACAGACAGACACAGAGCTTGCCTTGGGGAAAGCAGATAGCAAACAAGTCCCTGAAATGCCAAAGAAGGTTTGGGGTGCTGACTGGGTAAGCCCCGAGCTTCCTGGTCCAGATTGTCGTTCCTCTCAGCTGCCCAAGTGCTCGCTGCTAGCATTGCAGGTGGCCTTGGTCTTGACCCTCTTACTTGCTTCTCCCTAGAAAACGTCATCCGTGAGAATCAGTGGGGAGGTGTGGACATCCGCCGCGGAGGGGTTCCCGTCCTCAGGAGCAACCTCATCTGCTTTGGCTATTCGGACGGCGTGGTCGTGGGAGATGAAGGCAAAGGGCTGATAGAAGGAAACACCATCTACGGTGAGGAGCACGTTCTGGGGGAGCGGTCCGGGGTCCAGTCCTGCCTGGGAGGCTGGAAGCCCAGGACCCTCCTTTGTGGGTCTGAGAAAGTTGTAGCCTTTCCCTGGGCGTCCGAGACCTGGTCTGAATGATAGCACTGATCTCGGGCCACAGTTACACAGCCCCTCTCAGCATTCAGGAGCCTCCGGCAAATCGCCATGTAATCAGAGCGATCCCATGGGGTCAGCAAAGCAGAGAGCTTTGTCTCCATTTAAAACAGCAGAAGGCGGGAGTCAGGTGTTGTGTAAGGACAGGGCCACTTAAGCTTGGATACGTGAGCATCATTTCTTGTGACCCAGAGAACTGAAAGTAATAGGGAAGAAACAGGACAATCAGAAAGCAAGCTGTTCTCACTTACTCTGACTTTGGGTTAAAGCCTTCGTCTTTCTGAACTGTCTATTTGAGGATGGTGAGCATGATAGCAGCTAACGTGTTCCGATAAAACGCTGCACGGCCCTTTCTATGCATTATTGCATTTAATCCTCATGTCTACCTTCTGAGATAGATAGTTAACCCCATTTTAAAGGTGAGGAAACTAAGGCATAGAGAGGTTCCATTAACGACTCAAAGTCATATAACTCGGAAGTGGTGGGGCTGAGGTTCAAACTGAAGCCGCCTCTGTCTCTTCAGGGAGGGGTGGGGCTAGATGAACTCTGTGACCCCTTTGGCCCTGTCACTATGGGCTTCTGTGCTTCTGATCTGGAGTGTGGCCTTGACGTTCTCAGAACTTTTACACCCAACAGAATGATCCTAGTTGAAAGATGATCCTGACTGTTACTTGCCCTCTCGTATGAAGGACCCTGCAGCCAGAGCCATACAGTGACTTGTCCCAGGCCTTTAGCAAGTCAGGGACTCTGTGGCCCGGGCCAGTGCCTTTTTTGCTTCCCCTCGGGGGAGACGCTGGAGGCTGTCACCCTTTGCTGTGTCGGTGACCAGCTGCTCTCACTGTCCCAGCTAATAAGGGCTGTGGTGTGTGGATGATGTCATCCAGCCTGCCCCACGTCACCAGCAATCACGTCAGCTACAATGGCCTGTACGGAGTGGCGGTGTTTAGCCAGAAGGAGGGCTCCAGGGAGCTCCCTGGCGGCCATGGGGCCCAGGAGAACTTCAGCGAGGATGGGGATGCCATCCTCTGGGAGCCCGAGCTGGAGAAGGACGACGACCCGCTGCGCCAGCCCGTCACCATCGCGCTTGTGGAGTCCAACAGTATTAATCACAACGGAGGTGAGTCCCCTCGCCCTCCGCCCCTGCTCCACAGCCGTCGAGGTCTCACGCCTTAATGGCCCTTCACGGGCTCCCCTTCCAGCCCTCTGGCCTCACTGCCACTTCTTTTGTCCACTCACCCGATACCCCAGTCCCCAGACTTGAATCCATCCTTGCTTGTCCGCCAGCCCCCGACTTTGCTCATGCTGCTTCTCTTGCTTGAAATTCCCTTCCTCCCGTTCACACAGCCCGGACCACACGAACCTCAGAGCCGCTGGCAACGCACCAGCATCCTTCCCTCCTCTGCACCGTGCCCTCCCCACCCCAGTGGCATGTGCTAGGGGGACTTGTGTCTGGAGCTGTTTCATCAACTCTGATAGGCTGTGAACTTGAGGCAAAGACGGAATCCCACCCATGTTGGTGCCCTCTCCCCTGCAGTGCCAAACCCACACCTGGCGGGCACATTGCTAACCAATTCTGAGACACATTTTTCACATTTTAACATCTTTGATGAGATGTGTCTTCCAATTGATGGCATATCATGGTTTAATTGGCAATGATTTTTCTTAGCTGTATAGAAAAACAAGTGTGTTTTAAATCTGTTATCTTTCATTTAACAAAAAACGATGATAGTAGGTATTTCATGTTTATTGAATTAAAAACAAAAAAACAAAAAGAAAACTTATTGTGGAGTTATCTAACTCCAGGACTCCTAACTGCGCTGATTATCAGAATCACTGTTGAGCGGCTAATGGAGGAAGGCTTAACACATAAAAAGAGGCTTAAAAAGAGGCTACCACATAGAAGCATTGAACAGACCATCCAACCTCAGAAGGAAGGCGGGGGGTTGGGGGGTGGTGGTAAGAGAGCAACTAAAGGCCTTATATGCCTGCATGTAAGCATAACCCATGGACACAGACAGTAGGGGAGTCAGGGCATGTGCTAGGGGTGGGAACGGTCAGGGAGAGGTCAGTGGGGGACAAAGGGGACATATGTAATACTTTAAACAATAAAGAATTAAAAAAAAAAAGAGGTTACCAGGCCTGGTAAGCTCATTCCTCTGGGTGGCAGAGTTAGGGAAACCTGTGGCCACCTGTGCAGGACAGGAAAAGCTGCATGTATCCACAGATTCTTCATTTATATTTGCTGTTCTCAACCAAGCAGGAGAAGCAACAGGCAGGTACCACCAAGAGATTTGAACTCACAGCGCAGATTGCTCCCATGTGACCCCATCGTCGGCCTCCCCACACTCCCACACTGCCCCGGACCGCTTGCTCTGGTGGTGGCTGGAGGTCCCTGGGAGTCCTGCTCCTCACCGGGTCCATCTGCCATGCTGTCCCTTCCCGACCACGTGGGCAGCTCTGAGCCCGCTCATTTTGTGCTTTTTTCTACGAATATCCCAAACAGCCTTTTCTTTCCAAAATTTCTAACACATTTTAGACACATATTACTTTGTTTAGTCAATATTTTTTAATTCAAAAATTATGGAATTTCCCATATAAACAAATTTCTCCAAACAGTAGGGAGGCAGGCTTCAGGTCAGTATGGGAAAGAAAACAAAACAATAACTTTCTAGCAGGTAGGCCTGTCTGGAGTTGGAACGGGTGGTGAGGGCTCCATCACAAGAGGTGCACGTGGCGGTAGAACTGTGACGTAGATGGTGTTCAGTACAGGATGGGAGCCTGGGCCAGACGACCAGCTGAGCCTGGGACCACCCTGTGCTTTCTCTGCTCCCCTCCCCCACCCCCCCCCCCCCCCCACCTGCAGCCTCAGGACTCTACATCCAGAGCAGTGAGGCGCTGCATGTCATCACCAATGTGATCCACGCTAATGGGGACAGAGGCATCACTGTAGCCCAGAGCAGCCAGCTCACCCGTGTGGCTAACAACAGCATCTCCTGCAACCGCCAGAGTGGGGTCAAGGTCGAGGCCCAGTGCAAGGTAGAGCTTCGGGGCAATGGGATCTATGACAACAGAGGCCACGGCATCATCACCAAGGGTGACAGCACCGTCGTCATCGAAAATGACATCATTGGCAATCGGGGCAGCGGGCTGCAGCTGCTGCCCAGGTCTGACACTAAGGTGAGTGTGTGTGTGTGTGTGTGTGTGTGTGTGTATTCCATGGCACAGCCCTGGGAGAGCTCTTTTGCCTTCTCAGCCTGGAAGACAAAGATGGGACTTCACACAAGAGGGGACATATAACTGGACCCTGAAGGATGAATCAGAGTTAACCAGCAGGAAGCTAGGGTGGGGGTGCCCCCTGGGGTATCTTCTGGGTCTCCAGGCCAAGGTCAGGGCTGTTCTAGATTTCTGCTCACAGAATAATCTCACATGGGACCCGATATGTGGTAGGTGCTTAATGAGGAAAGAAGTCTTGCCTTGGGGCCTTTGCACACACTATTCCCTGTGGACCCAGGACACTTCCCCCTCTTTTTCTCTTAGTCCTACAGCTTGGCTATGGCTTTTTTCAGGAAGCCCTCCCTGAGTCCCCAGACTATTGCACCCCTTTTCTGGACTCAAAGGTGCTTATACCCACCCCTACCTCACAGGGCACTTCCCACGGTGCTTTATAAATGTTCCTTTGCTCATCTGTCTCCCAATGGGACAGTGAGCTCTGAGCTTACTTTTTTTTTTTTTTTAAATATATTTCATTGATTTTTTACAGAGAGGAAGGGAGAGAGATAGAGTTAGAAACATCGATGAGAGAGAAACATCGATCAGCTGCCTCCCGCACGCCCCCCACTGGGGATGTGCCCGCAACCCAGGTACATGCCCTTGACCGGAATCGAACCTGGGACCTCTCAGTCCGCAGGCCGACGCTCTATCCACTGAGCCAAACCGGCTTTGGCTGAGCTTACTTTTTATGCAAAGCACGGTGCCGGGTGCTAGGCTTTCAAAGTTGAGCCTGTTCCTGCCCGTTTGAATCATGATCCCAAGGCCTCTTTAGCTGTGTGGCTTCATGATTAGTGACTTAGGCAAGCAGTAAAGAAGTCCGTGGCTTTGAGTCTGAGCTGTGGAAGCTGTTGCCTCAGTTGGGTTTCCATGGGCCTTGGCCTCTGGCACCACTCCGCCTCTCTGCCAGGCCTTTGCACATTTTTTCTTCTTCCTGGAACATCCCTACCTTGCTCTGCACCTGATAAACTCCTATAGCTTACCCATCACCTCTTCCAGGAAGCCTTCCCTGCTCCCCTCTCCCCCCGCCCCGTTTGCTTCGATATCCCTTCCCTGAGCTCCCATGGCTCACTGCTCACCGACCCAGCATGCTCTTACCTCCGGTTTATAACTGGTGAAACACTTACCTGGCTCCCCTACCAGTGTGACAAGCTGTCTGCCTCTTCCAGGTAATAAAGAACCGGATCCATTCATTTCGGGCCTACGGCATCGCAGTGCGGGGCCGCACCAAGGCTCTGGTGCAGGAGAACATTTTCTTCCAAGGAAAGACCAACAAGACCATCTTTCAGCAGATCTCAAACAATCGAGAATGTATCATGCAAAACAACAAGTTCTTGGTCTTCAAGAAAAAGTAAGGGCCTAAACCAATTTTCTAGAACCTCAGTGAGGTCACTAGAGAAGCCAGGCCCAGTGATTCTGGCTGCCCTTGCTCCCTGCAGTCCTGCCAGCTTTCGGCTCTGGCCAGATCAAGGCCTGGGCTGAGGAGCTGCACTTGACTGCCTAGGAGGAAACAAGCTGCCAGAGCAAGGCGTATGTAATTTCAAATCTCAGCTCTGCCAGTTACTGGCTATGTGATCTCGGGCAAGTTCTCAATATCTCTGAGCCTTAGTAAAATCTAGTTAGCCCTGACCAGGTGGCTCAGTTGGTTGGAGCATCATCCTGTACCACCCCCCCAAAAAAAGCTTGCGGGTTCAGTTCTCGGTCAGGGCATATACCCAGCTTGCAGGTTCGATCCCTGGTTGGGGCGTGTACAGCAGTAACGGATGGATGTTTCTTTCTCACATCGATGTTTTTTTCTCTCTCCCCCTTCCTCTGTAAAAATCAATAAGAACATATCTTTGGATGAGGATTTAAAACGGATACAGATATAGATATCATACAGACTGTAGCCTTTTGAGTCTCCTCAGCCGAATGTCCTGAGATTTGCCCATGGTGTCGCATCTGTCGTTCCTTCTTTTCCTTGCTCAGTTGTGATGTATTGTATGGGTATAACACATACTGGTTATCCATTCATCAGCTGTAGTTTCTAGTTTGTGGTGATTGTAAATAAAGATTCTGTCAATTTTCATGGTTATACAGCTGGAGTGGGGAGAAGGGAAAATGAAAAAGAAAAAAAGCCACGGATCTTATCCAGATCCTTATAAAGAGGGGAGATTAGGGCTGCTAAAGGGAACTTGTCCAAGATCACATGCAGAATTGAAAGCACACGTGGAACTAGAAAGCAGGACTTCTGCCCTTTAGCGTCACCAGCTTGGGAGACAAAAACTACATTTAGATGTAAACACCCGCATCCAATGAGCTTGAGTGAAAGGTAAGATTTCAAGCATTCAGTATCATTTTACATCTCCAGGTCTGATACATGGCGGCTCATGAACCCACCAGCACGCCCTCACCTTGAAAACTCTCTCCGAGGCCCTTCTGCAGCCCACAGTGGGCAGAAGGTGACCGCCATGGCGACCAGGATCACGGCCCGTGTGGAAGGTGGGTACCACAGCAACCGCAGCATCTTCTGCACTATCCTGTGAGGATGGAGAGCCACAGGGCGGGGCAACTAGAGCGCTGTCCAGAGACTCTGGGAGCAACAACCACACACCGTTCTCAGGCTCAGGCGGACAGTGCCAGCTGAGCTAAGAGGTGAGGCCTTCGGGGTGGCAGAGCCTTCGAGTCTGAGAAGGCTCCGGATCCCTCTCACCAAGCCCCTGGGAAGCAGGCTCCTAGGCCTCCTGGGGACTAAGGACAAGGTACCTCCAAAACCCTTCAGCTCCACCACCCTCAGTAGGAAGGCACTTGAGTGCTTCTCAGAGGAAAAAGGAACAGACCTTGGGTTTCCAGTCCCTCCAGCTCCTGTAGATTATGAAGAGTTGAGGAAAGTCAGTACTGAAGCTGCGGTCAGGTTTTCTGTTTGAGTTACAGGGAGCCAGCTGCATCTTACACACACCAAGCGGGCTCTCAGGGAAGAGGCTCACTCCTGAGTGAGGGGAGAAATTCTAGGGAGGTGGAGACAGCTGCCCAGGACTTCCCCTTCCTGACTCCCTCTCTGTCCCTCCAGGACACCACACCCCCTCCCAGCTGCCTGCAGGGGCTGGGGGAGTTGAGTTTGGTTTCCTTAAGGACATTGTTTTATTCTTAAACACGGGCCTGTGATGGACGAGGGCTTAGGACACGGAGCCCCTCTTAAAAGGCTGACCTAGGGATGACAGGGGACATGTGGAGAACAGGAGGGGCTTCCTTGCAGTGGCTCAGGTGCCAGGCTGGGCATTGCAGGGACACACAACTCCCCCTGCCCGCCAGGAGCTCCCAAACTCGGGAGGACGTTAGCTTGGTGCCTGCTGCACAAGGATTCCCGTCCCACAAGCACAGCCACACCAGCCGCCCCCTCCTGGGCACCAGCCTGGGAGAGGTGCAGGTGCCTGGGGCCCCTCGTCTGTGTCCGCGTTCTCATGGACAACCACCTGCCTTTGCTGGCTCTATGTGCCTTGGCTCATGCTCTCCCCTCCCGGCATGCCCTTCCCTCCCTCCGTCCAGGTCCCACCATTCACATGAGCTCAGACACTGCCATCTCCACAGAGCACTCCCCTCCTCCAGGTGGCAATGCCTTCCTG